GTTTAATTTAGAGGTCCTCAAACTTTTTAAACAGGGGGCCAGTTCACTGTCCCTCAGACATTCCACACATGCGCACTGCGGGCCCGGGATGAGTCGGCTGCTAAGCAGGACAGGCAGCAACGGCAAAAACACCCGGCAGGCTGGATAAATGTTTTCGGCGGGCCGCATGTGGCCCGCGGGCCGTAGTTTGAGGACCCCTGTGCTAGGTAGTTACACCAAGAAGCACAGTTCCTTTTCTGGAAACCCATATGCAGCCCTGCCAGGGGCCAACCCTATTAATTGGTTAAGTCCATTAACATCCAGCAGGCATTTATTTCATTGATAACTAAGATTAGCATCTGTGGGGGGATGGGCTTTCTGCCCTAATCCAGGCTCCTGAGCACCTGCAGGTGAGTGCCCTCTTCCTGTGGGGATCCCATCTGCACTTTCCCTCTCCTTTGCCGCCACATACTTCTGTCCATTCTGATTGCTCAAGCCATTTCCAGTCTCTTGGTGGCCAGGTCTGGGTGCAGGTGTGGCTAACTCTCCGTTTTGCTCCTTAGGGGTACGGCCTCCGAAGGGGAGGGGTTGGGCGCCGAAGGGCAGGAGCACAAGGAAGACACGTTTGACGTCTTCCGTCAGAGGATGATGCAGATGTACAGACACAAACGGGCCAATAAATAGGTATGTGCATGAGCTGGAACATTGGGCGTCCTGCCTAAGCTGTCATTTTGATATGCAGCGACGGTTCCTCCACAAAAGTTGGTGTTCCCCACACTCCAAAACCAGACCTCAAAATACAAAAAAAAAAAATCTTTGAGGGAAACGAAAGGAGTCTTTGGATGCGGATGTCGTCCCCCCTCTCACCTTTCAGGTTTGGCTGAAGGAGTGAGTGCCACACTGGCCAAGCACAGCTGCACGTGGCCTGCTTGCAGGGCCTCAGTTCAGGACTCCCAGGCTGCCACAGGAGCGGCTTGTGTCCCACAGTGTAAGGGTGACCTGGAAGCTGGCCACAGAGGACCGTTTCCCTCTCTGAGGGTCTTCAAATCCTTTTCCTTCTGAAGGGCCTTGGCCCTATGAATATCCTCATCTTTCTCCTCTCTTTTTAGTTTCCCTCCCCACCCATAATATCCAACTCAGTTTTGAACAAAATTGTTCTCTCCTTAAATAGATGAAAACCATTGGTGAGAAAGATAAGCCTTGAAGCAACTATTATTCTAAAAACGCCACCTCTGCCCCGGATCCACCCTGGAGCCAGAGCCCAAGTCAGTTCGGTGTGTACATGAAAAACAAATGTCTCTGCAGTTTCTGGTGGAGATTCTGCTGGCTTTTCTTTTTCTAAAGAAAAAAGAATGCACCACTTCCAATCTGCTTTTGCCTTTCCTCTTCTTCCAACTGCTTTGGGCAGCAAGTCCTCTCCGAGTCTTTCCTGGTTCCACAGGAGGTGGTGCTGCCCTGGCACGTTGCTCGCCAGAAGTGTTCTGTTAGCAGATTTGATGCTGAAATGATTACCAATTGTGTCTTCTTATTGTTTCCAGAATTTAATCGGGATCTAATCTGTACTCTGGCACCACAGCCTGTCGGTGGAGCACTGAAGCTCTGAACAAGTGGAGATACTTGATTCCATGAATGTGTTATTTATAGCGTCTCATCTCTTAAATGCATCCCAAGAGACTTAACAAAATTTAGCAACGGTATAATACAGCTGGATTCAGTGGGGAGTAGGCACCTCACTGATGAAACTTTCCCCAAATTTTTAATTCTCTTTAGAATCCACAAAGAAAGCTACAGTTTGTGTTTTCTTTTTAAACCACATATGAAGTTGCCTCCAAAGCGGTGGGGATAAACTCTTCCAGACTCTTCATTTTTTGCACGTGTGGCAGTGGAAGTAATTGTTTTGTTAGGGCCCCTTTACAGAACAGGGAGGGCCTTCTTGGGGTGGGCTCTTTCGAGGTGTATGACTGCCACCCCTTCCAGCTTCTCCCTGTGCTTTGCAACTACATGTTAAATTCTCAGGCTGTGGTCATCTCAACCCTTCTTCCTAAAACAGCAGTGTTGAAGTTTTACATATGTGCTAAAATCTAGATAACTTGGTCGTTCTGATAGTACATGCTTGAGGAACACAGCAGTGAGTTACCTTGTGTTGGCTGCCAAGAAATCCTTGCATTCTCCGAGCACAGACCTCCCGGTTATAGTCCTGCTTCTCTGGTTCTGTCTTATCTATGTCCGTCCTGCTGCTCACCATGGCATCTCGCCTGCCTGGTGCCCTCTCTCTACATGTCAGGTATAGCCCCCAGATCTCTGCCTGCTTCTGATCACTTCTATTGCTTTGGCATCCACATCTTTATGGCCATGGCAGTGCCGGCGGCCCTTCAGCAGAGGTGAACCAGCCTGCAAGGGTGGTGTGTTTTGGGAGAAGCACACCTGTGGAAGTTCATCTTCTACTCCTCTCTTTCCTGTCCTTTCATCAGCCTTCCATGTTGGCTGTGGGTTGGGCCACAAGATGGAACTCTGAGAACAGGGCCTTGGTCACCCATGTTACCTGTTGGTCACACAGTACCCGTTGGCCTGAGTGAGACGTGCATCCCCCAGCACATTTCTCTTCCTCTTTGAGCATAGCTCTGAATGTCATATTCGCTCTGTCCTAGTGTGTTCATTCTTGGCTTTCTCCACTTTTATTCACAAGTGAAATGCTTTAGGAATTCCCAGGACGTGAGCCTTGTCCCCACAGCCTCCTGCCACTCCTCCTCCTGGGGACATCCCACTTTGAGCTCACGCTGTGAAGCTTTGACAAGTATTAAGGAAACACCTACTTCTTGAGCCTGCAAAGTCTTCTGAGCGCTTAAGTGACGTTTCTCCTGTGGAGCCAACATTGAGGCGTTGCAGGTGCCAGGGTGGAGCATGGTGGAGTGTCCTCTGCCAGCCGCTGGCCGGGGACCGGTGCGTGCTGGCCCTCTGTGCAATCTTGCTCTCTCGGCAAAGGATGCTCTGCAGGGAACTTGTGAGTGTGTGTGCGGGTGTGTGGCCTTGTCAAAGTCACAGCGTCTTTTCTGTCATTCTAGTTCCAGGGTCTCTCCCGTGAGGACAACAGGCATCCGGAAAGGCTAACGCGCCACTTCGGGTGCTTACTGTCTCGGGCTTGTTTCCATCACTGGAAATCAAATAGAGAATGTTAGTGCTTTTGGTCCTTGGTAAAACCTAGAAGACGTTTGTGATGTTACAAAATGGAAGTTTTGTTTGTGTTTTTATCTAAGAAGTTGTGAATGTTAATCGCTTAGCAGTTGCAATAAATGTAGAGGAACCCGATCTTCCATGGTCTCCATTGATGTATTTATGAAATCGGGCCATTGGGGTACATGGGAGATGTGGTGCCTGCATGGAACCAGATCATAAACACCCTGCCTCAGGGCCGGTCCTCTGCCTGCCAGTGTGGGAGTCTGGTCAGTAACTGGGAAAGCCCAGAAGGTGCTGAGATGAGGGTAGGTAGTGATCAGGACCCAGTACACCGGGGAGCAGGCAGGCTCTCTTGGGGAGGGGGGAGTGCGAGGAATAGAAACCTACCTTTGAGAGGGTATCGTGACTTGGGAGCCCTATCTTAGAAGCCCATGACTGCCCACCCCGCACCCCCCTATCTCCCCCATCCCCGCAAGGCCTTGCTGACTCCCAGGGTTGGGGTTCCAGCTGCCAGAGATAGACCAAGGTGCAGCTAGACCTCCCCCTGACCAAGAAGCCAACCTGTGGGTGTCTTCAAAGCTCCGTGCTGTTCCTGTGTGCTGTCAGCCTGTGTCTGATTCCTCTACCAGCTACCCCTGGCCCTTCAGGTTGCGGGGGGAGAGCAGAGATCACAGCACGTGGATGAACATATGGGCCTGCAGGGGCTTCCACCTGAGCATGGCACAGGCAGGAGTCAGGCTCCGGATGTACCCAGGGCACCAGAGAAGTGGGGAAGGGTTGGGGCGGGGATCAGTCGGCAAATTAAAAGGGGACAGATGAGATAAGGCTCCTTAGGAAGCTGATGTGGGACCCCTGAGTCTTCCTTCTCCCCACTGTGTCTTGGAGGACACTCAGGAGTGGTGAGGGCCCATTTGGCAATGATGGGAGCTGCTGGCAGCCCAGAACCTCCCAGACATTTGCCTTCATCTTCACCAGAACTTGGGAGGTGAGTGTGTGATATAGCCTTAGCGCCATGCCCTGAGAAAGTCACCCAAAGCCTACAACCCCCACCCACCCTGGGAAGACTGGCGGTGGGGGATGAGCAGCAATCAGAATTGCTCTCCAGTAGCCCCACCGACTCCTTTTCACCAGCAGACTGGTGGTGGCTTAGACAAGGACATATGGTATGGGGGTCTCCAGCCTGGGACATGGCCCGGGCTTTGACCTCAGAAGATAACATTTCCTCTGCTACCTTGTAATTTAGGGCTAAATGGGACCTAAATATGCCACTCCTCTCTTCCCAGCTTCCCCTCCAGGAAGCCTCCTGAATGCCCCAGGGCACCGTGAGAAGCGGAGCATGCTGCTGGAGAGGCTCTAATACTTAGTTTTGTTTGGGGGTTGGTTTTTTTTTTCCGTTTTCAAATTTTTGGGGGGGCCATAGGGGAGGGAGCTGTCAGTGGAGGTGCTCACAGTCACTCCAATTTGGACCCCAGGGGTCCTGGGGATGTCGGACATGTTTCCATCATCTCCAACTAGCACTGGGTAGTTGTAGGGTGTAACCTGGTTGATCATGGCCTCATGCTTGGTGTAAGGGTTGAAGGGAGCAGAATAATACCAAGGCCTCCAGTGGTGAAGGACACAACTAGCGCCGGCTCCTTGGCCCAGGCGTTCTTGAGGAAGGCAGCAAGTCTCCCGGCCATCTTGGTCTTGGTGGCCTCAAATCTTGTTTTTAAAACAGGCCTTTGTTGCCCTGGCCAGGGAGCTCAGTTGGTTAGAGCGTCCTGATACGTCAAGGTTGGAGGTTTAATCCCATGTCAGGGCACTTAACAAGAATCAGTGAGCCCTAGCCAGTTTGGCTCAGTGGGAAGAGCATTCAGTCCCTGCGGACTGAAGGGCCCCAGGTTCGATTCCGGTCAAGGGCACATACCTGGGTTGCGGGATCAATTCCCAGTGTGGGGCATGCCGGAGGCAACCAATAAATGATTCTCTCATCATTGATGTTTCTATCTCTCCTTCTCCCTTTCTCTCTGAAATCAATAAAAATATATTTTTTAAAAAGGATCAATGAGACATCTGTAATACTGTCAACAATAAAAAAATTTTAAATTACATATGTAATCTATAATAATAAAAGCATAATATGCTAATTAGAACAAACTTCCTGATGAAGCCAGGGCTGCATTATCTAACAAATGTTCTAAAGGATTGGTCCCTATACCCTACAACACTGTAAATAAAGCCCTAGAAATGTCATTTCTGGGGCCAAAGGGCTCTCCCTCCATAGCATGCCTGTGCAGTCCAACTTGGGAGCAGGGGGTAGGGGACTGACCCCGTCAAAGCTCCTGTTTTTCCCAACTGTGCGTGCGTGGGACATCATGGGAGCCATAGAGTCTGAGAAGCACTCTACCACAACCACGGCCGTGGTGGAATTTCACTCTACCTCACACATTTCTGTGTGGTTTGACATCTTTGCTTCTATGATTTTAGAATGACAAAATATTGTGGATGATTAACTCAGCCTTGGGTTTGCTTTCAGAATCAACAGAGATGAGAGGTGTCAACTTCAGAGCCCATAGCACAGACTATAAACTGACATCTCTGATAGTCAGTGGCCTCTCTGTACATTAATCCTTGAATCCCGCAGAAGCCAGCCCATTTCCCAGTGGAGAAACTGAGGCCCAAGCCAGTCTGACTCCACACCTGTACTCTCAAGGATCTCCCATAGGTCTCATCTGGTTTTGAAGCACATGCACGCATGCAGCCCATGCTTGTGTACCTACAGTTATGCATGCACATACACAAACACGTATGCACAGGCTCAAAGACATACAGATATGAATACACAAACTTGTATAGACACACATGCAGACACAAAGATACGTGTGTGCACATGTATGCTCAAGGATATGCACACAGAGGCACCTACATGTGTGCACACGCATACATCCATGCACATACACATGCACATACTCAAAGATACATGTGTGCACATGTAGGCTTGAAGACACGTGCACACAGACATGCACACACAGATGTGCAAACATGCACCTGCAGGCTCAAAGACAGGCACACATGTAGACATACATGCACATGCACACACGTCGTTCCTATTTCCCACCAACCCCATGCTCATAGCCCTGGGAACTGACTCTCAAAAATTGCAGCTCAGGTTGAAACGGCCCTGGTGAGTCTAGGACGGCCCCAGTGAGGTTGAAACGACCCTGGTGAGGCTGGGACAGCCCCTGCGAGGATGCAATGGCCCCTGCGAAGCTGAGAAAAATACCATATGATCTCACTCATTTATG